ATGTTCTCGAATTTAAACCTTCTTGGCTTTCGTTCAGTATAGTCGGACAAAATTTTACCCACAAACCCATATGATCACTTATCGGAGGTTCAATTGAGGATGCTTGGGCCTCCATAAAATTGTTCCACCAATCATCATTGACAAGAATTCGATCCAATTTTTCTTCTACCCAATTTACAGTTCCCTTACCACGATCCCAAGTCCACCGATACCCTTGGAACGGAAAATCGCGTAGGCCACTACTGATGACTGCTTCTCTAAATCCTTGCACCCTCTACCCGGGATGTGATATTCTACCTTTCTTTTCTGATTCATAAAGAATATCATTGAAGTCCCCAATCACAATCCATTGAAGGTTATTGTTATCTTCCATTCCCCTCAACATCTCCCAAGCTTCACGGCGTCATCGCGTTTCCGGGTAGGCATAATAGCATGTTAGCCTCCATGCAGGATCTCCGGCCATTGTCCGCACCAAACAATCGACATAGTTTTGTTTCACAACAATAATAGAAACCTCCACATCATCGTTCCATTCCAATGCCAGATCCCCGTTGTTACCTTCACTATTCGAACCTGTGAACTGGTGAAAACCCTGTGCCCGCGTCTTTTGCTCGCAAACAACGACTTTTTGTTTCCATAAGAACGATAATTGTCGGCCGATGGGATTGAACGATACCCGCTAACACTTGCGGCCGTAGCCATGTTTCCTAACCCTCTGCAGTTCAAAATTACCAAACTCAGACTAAGACTCAAAGAACGCCGGACGCCATGATCAGGAAGATTACCGTCAGAAAAACGAAGCTAGGTGAAACCCTTGAGATGACCGCTTTAGATATGATAGTTAAACACTGGGTGTTTTACGTTAAGAAATGAGAAAGAAATGAGCATTTGTATTAAATTATAAAATGAGCAAATAAATATTTTGATGATAATATAGTTAAATAAATAAGTTCATTTGTAGCATATATATTACATATAGATATGATACTCAATTGCATCCATTCTGATACTCAACTGTGCTACCACTACAATGAATTATTACCAATACTCATTTCTTTTAAACGTTAAACTCATTAAGCATAACATAAAATACCCGATTGTACAGTGAGCACTATAAGATTGGGTGTAAAGTGTGGACACACTCGGGTCCATGTTCCCTATCTAGCTTTCTGGAATTGAGTTATTGTCAAAAATTTAGAAGTTTATGTGTTGATTCATTCTTATTCATATAGAATTATAAATTACAGGTTGTTCATATATATTCATTCTCTACCATTTTTTCTCAAAAAAAATCAAAAAACTCTTTGTTTCGTTTTCTACTCGAAACAAGTATGTATGAACCTGAATTCCATAATCGACGAATTATTTTCCTATGATTCAGAACTGGCCAACCAATCTAGGATCGGTACCGAGTGAGGGGTATGTATGGAAGATTTGCAAATTGAAACTTGATTTTATCAATTTACAATAAATAAAATCTCAACAAGTACACTCTACTGTGATTTTTTATTTATCATTTTGCGAAGATAAAAGACATGAAACCAATGTTCTAAAAGGCGCCTAGGCGTACAGCGACAGGACAACGTTGTGCGTAATAGAAAAGCGTGGAAAAAGAGATCGACCAGAGTGTTCACCATCAAAAGCGTAAAAAGGCATAATTTAAAAGGGGGTTAAGATAAATTATCTTTTGCAAAGAAGAAACTAATTATATTTAAAAAAAATTAATAGTATGTTATGGTAATGTAATGTGGAGTCATAAAAGCAACAATAGAGAGCAAAACTATATGTAGTATATTTTTCCAAAAATAATATATTCACTTTATCCATTTGAAAATTATATATTCACTGAATAAAATAAAAAATAATTGAATCTTGTATAATAATTTTGCATATTTATTATTTTTCTTCATGTGCCACTATAAATTAATTATTTTTTTATCCAAAAATAAAATGTTTTGATATTTGTGACAATAAATATCTATAGATTTTGTTGTTTTAATTATTATACTAAATGACAAATATCAAAATTAAACATTTCACATTTCATTAGTACAATGTTACAATTATCCAAAATATGTAAACACACTTTCACTCTTAGACTTTGTCTATTCTTGTTTAGAGTTAAAAGGCTTGAGTCTTATTGTTGATGTTTTGTCATGTCCCACGCCTTTTAGAACATTTTCTCGAAGACATATAATGATGGGTAACTTGCAACTATTACTATCGCTCAAGATTTGATCATGAAACTCTCTTGAGTGCTACTATGTACAAGATTAGATTACAAAGGGATACTAAATATCCCACCAGGGGCGGAACCAGAGCAGGGTCAGACTGGGCCGACACAAAGAATATTTTTGGAAAATTTTTTACACGAAATTTTTTACACTACAAATACAGACATTTTTTAAATTTAGGTTGGGCCGGGGCTAGGGTTGGCCCTCCCCTAGCTACGCCCCTGCATCCCACTAACTAGGATCTAAGGATATTGAAGTGAGTGTTAGGAGTTTAGAGAAGTATGAATGAACTAAAAAATGAGTGATTCATTACAACTTTCTTCTTGTTAGACATCTTCATGTTCACTCCTTTTGATATTTGCACACCATACAAATTCACACTTCCTCTGTATCTATAGACTTGAGTTTTGAATATCTCATATTGATTGAGGAGATTCAATTTTGATCAGTTCGTATAATGTGGGATCGTCCCACGGTGAGCACCATGCTCCACTCCCAAAACGACGTAGTTTTGCACAATTTTTTTTAAAAAAATCACGTGAACAGTACATGCGTGAACAATACACGCGTGTACAGTAACTATTTTTTTTCTTTTTGTTCCAGTAACATGAATGATATAACTCGTCTGTAAAGAAATGTAACATATGATAATAAGAAATGTCAATGCAAGCAAGTCGAAATGTAACATGTCTTAAACATTGATTTCAATGTAAATAATAAAAAAAGGGAATCTAATTGCTAAATAACTTTACCTAAATGATGAATATGTTTTGTTTTTAATATTAAGACCATAAAAGGTTTTAAAGAAATCTTTTTTTCCACCAAAAATCAATTTTTTACAAAACAAATTGATTTAAAATAAGTTTTTTTATTTCAATAAAAGGGGTTTATTTTGTGATGTGATTCGTGTTATGGAAAATGTAACTCGCATTGATGAAAAATCTAACTTAAGTGTATGCAAAATGTAGCTTGTTAAGGCAAACCCAAATGTAACTGGCGCATAAAAAGATGTAACTCAGGCGTAAGAAGATGTAACTCATACATAGTAATATGTAACTTCATATAATATCAAATGTAACTTGGTGAGATAAATCCAAATATAACTCGCGCACATGAATGATGTAACTCTCGTACAAAATGATATAATTGCAAGTAATTTTGAAAGTAACTTGAGCCAAATCAAAATGTAAATTGTCCAAAAAAATTCCCACATATACGCACTCCACATCTAAATTATTTAGGTTTATTGCTCTTCCTAGTACCACAACATTCAAATATTAAAGAAAAATATCAACAAGGCAAGTCTGCAACATTCAGAAAGTTAGAAACCGTGCATAGTCGCTGAATCCAACATCTGAATGTTTTCTTTCGACTTAGCTCTGTTTGTGAATCCGACATTGGTGCAACATCAGAAAGTCAGACAATATACTTCAATACACATAATTGTTGCATCGGTGCAACCAATTTTAGGGCAGACGATTGCACCAAAGCTAGGGCGGAGGAGAAGATTTCTGGAAACACTCCTTTCCTTGTGCGATAGCCTGTGCAGTGGGGCGATGACGGAGCTTCTGGTCTGAGAGCCGGAGTACGGCGGATTTCCATGGGAAAGGAATGATTCATGCGAGGGATAGATATGAAATAGGGAAAGAGATTAAGTGCGAAGATTTTTTAATACGGAGTATAAAACTGTACCGTTTTGGGATCGACACACCATGCGCATGGTGGGACGATCCCACGGTATAATTTGTCAATTTTGATGGTTCATGATCAATGGGGACACGGGTTGTGACCTTTTTGTGTTCAATTATGCTAGGGGTACATGAAGTGTACACAAGATGTACACACTACAAATACCTCTTAATTTTTACCATTTCACTTTTATTTTTTTTACCCCCCTTCTCTCCTTCTTATCTCCTTCTCTTCTCTTTGTTCTCCACCTTTCTCCTGACCTCCTCTCACGTAACCCCTATTTCCCCTTGCTTTCTTTTTCTTCATTTTCAATCCTCTTCCCATTTCTCTCGCACGTAACTCCTCTCATGTAATCCCTAATTTGTCTCTCGGCTCGACCATTTTTCTGGAACTATCAATCTTGAGGTAAATATCTATTTTCTTTTTTAATGTGCATTTTAGTGCATAATATGTAGTATTATAAGAAACCGGTCCACCCCTATCTCCATATAATAAAATGATAAGACTATGTAGTAGACTTTGATAAATTGAATGCCTGTTTGGTGCATAATATTTGACTCGTTTTTTTTATTGTGAGGTTGTATGGTAACTTTTTGTTTTTATAGAATAATAATATTAAGTGTCATTTTTGTGAAATATGGTGTTTGTTTTTCTTGTTTGATTCAAAGTGAAATACGGAATTTTGAATAATCAATGGTTGTTTGATTCAAGAGGAGAATATGGATTCTAACTTCTGCTCAAACAACTTTGAATATGAAACCCCCTCCACATGTTGTGCACTAGTAAGATGTATTTGTTATTTTGTTGTGAGTTCGTATTTTCAATTGCTAAGTCCAATTGTCTGTGAATCAAACAAGAGGTGCTAATTAGAGTTGTCTGTGGACATGATATGAAGTGTCTGGCCACAAACAATACCCACCAAATGAGCTAATGAACTCATGTACTACGTGAAATTGTTTGTGAATGAGACATGAAATGTCTGGCCACAGGCAATAGCCACTGCAACAGGCAAATGTGCTAATTAGAGTTGTTTGTGAACGTGAAATGAAGTGTCTGGTTACAAACAAAAGATACATATTTACAGAGTCTTTGACTCTTAAGTGAAAAACAATCATATTTACAAACAAAGTGTTCCATGACCAAAAACAAGCATTATCATTTACAACCCAAATGTCATATACTCTCCAACATCTCAAAGCTCAATGCCAACTAATCTAAAAAAACAAGCATTACTATTTACAACTCAAATGTCAACACATTCCAACATTCCAATGTTGACTAATCTAAAAGAAACTAATTTCAGATCATCCAATTCTATAAGATTAGATGAGCTCCACCGATGATTAAATTAGTTGACATTCTTCATAAGACCATCATCTTCAAAAGACCATCGTGTTCCCTTCGCCATGCCTTGCCAATTTCAAGGGCCAATGAGTCTGTCAAACTTGTTGATCTCATGGTTGCAAAACTCATGACATATAGAAATAACTACATAGAGATAATGATTAATAACAAAGTATTCAAATGTCTGTGAGCCTGGAGGAAAATGTCTGGCCACAAACATTAAGCCACTGGAACCCATAGATTACCCAAGGTATAAATGTCTGTGAGCCTGGAGGAAAATGTCTGGCCACAGACATTAAGCCACTGGAACCCATAGATTACCCAAGGTATAAATGTCTATGAGCTTGGAGGCAAATGTCTGGCCACAGACATTAAGCCACGGGAACCAATAGATTACCTAAGGTATAAATGTCAGTGAGGCCGGAGGAAAATGTCTGGCCGCAGACATTTAGCCACTGGAACTTCAAATTTCTTATCCACTCATATTATGTACTATTGCAATGTATAACAGGGGCGGACAAAAAAGCAAGCTGGGAAAGCATCAGGGGAAGTGGTCGGACCAAGCAACGTTGAAGAGGTAGTACCAAGAAATGTTGCACCAACCAATTTAGAATGGATGTATAATGATGACTTAAGCTTGAACCTTTCTTTGGTTTAGGCAATTACAACGCATGTAATGACTCAATTTTTGTATCATGACAATCAATGACATTTTGTCACATACTTTGCCATAACTATATTCAAAATGTCGCAAACATATTGTCACAATATATGAATTAACACAAGATCCACAAATTGGCAATGCTAGAAAGAGACAAACCTCTTTCTTTTTTTCCTTTCATAGATGGCAGGTTGGGCTTTGGTTATTTCAACATCATCTTCAAGAAGATCTTCCCATTCGACATTTTGAAAAGGCTTTGAGGCAGTGAGTGATGCATCCAGGAATGCATCATCCTAAGAAATTGAAAGAAATTAGATGTTTGCACATGTGCACGAAACAGGAACACTAATGTCTGCACACACACACTTGAAAGTAATTACACAGAAAGTAAAAATGAGGGACGCAAAGAATTTCAAAGCTTACCTTTTCTGTCGTGGCCACAATAGCCATGCTTTGCACTCTTCCTTGATCATCTACTTCCATGGAATCATGCTGCAAATTAGGCTCTCCACTTTGGACTCGTTCATGTACATACTAAATCAGTTACAACTAATACAAGGTATTTGAGTTGATAAAGCCTAATGACCAATATGAATTGTAAATGACTTTAAAATCTTGTAAAATCCAGATGAAAACAGGCCGAGAATTCCAAATGTTGTGCATTATGGTATTACCTTTGCGGTTACTTCAATTTGTGTGATTCATAGATGTTTTTTCACAATGATGCAACTAACTAATTCATACGTAGTATCATGTAATTTAAAAAATATATATTTTGTTTTATCTAAGAGGACTAAAACTGTTTTTTATATTACAGATCATTCAACAAAACAGTATGCTTGTTCATTTAACATATTTTCTTAGATAAGATGACAATAATTCATAAGAAAATTAGTAATGTTTAGAGCTAATTTCAACTTGTAAAGGTCTTGATTTAGGATAAGAAATGTGGTTGATTCACAAAAACTATTGACCATATACAGAGCTACACATGTAGTTTCTCTACTATAAGATATTTGTCTCACTCAACATACATATTTTTAGGTTAAAGAACACCCTGCTTGGATTCATTTATGCCTATAGAAGTGGATTAAGAGCTTCAAAAACAGAAGAATTGCTTATATTTTGAGGTTTGGCTGCACCTAAATCTGTCATGTCTGTTGTCAACAATCCATGATTGCTTCAGTTCAGTAATAAAGCACTTAATTGTAAACTTCGAAAATACCCCACTGCTTTCAATTTTTTTTAATTATCAAAGAAGCCAAACAACACATCACAAACTACAGACAAATCAAGTCACATGTAACACAAGACGAATTCCATCAAAATCAATTTTACAACCTAAATCGTCTGGCCACAGACATTATACTTCCATCTCCAAAACAAAACAAAAAAATGCTACAATCCGGCCTCTAAAGGTTCCCAACCCACCATTACCGTGTGTTTCTCACTTCATCAAACTAAAATTTTCAAGTGTAAACTTCGAAATACCCTAATGATTTCAAAAATAAGCCAAGAATGTAACAAGGTATACAAACCACACAATAGGGGATCAAATTCAACAATACTACTCACAAATGTGTTCAAGAAGTGGATATTACCTTCTCTTTGACGTACACACCACGGTTGTGTCTTCTTCCGCCTGCAAGTCGACGATTCAGACCGGGTCCGAGGTAGCCGCTTCGAGCCGACGACGGTCTGTGCGAGAGGAGGCCGCTTCGACCCGACGACGGTCTGTGCGAGAGGAGGACGCCGGCTTCAGACCGGTCGTGCTGGATGAAGAAGAACAACGGCGTGGGGGTGGGGGTGGGGGTGGGATATGCGCACAGAAAGAGAAAAAAATCGGCGAGGGAAGGGAAAGTGGAGCGGCGGGAGTTCTGGGAGAAGGCTCGCACGTGTGTGGGAGATAGGTGAGGAAAGGGGTAAAAAAAATTGAACTGATTTATTTTTGCCCTTTTATGTACACTAAGAGGCCGTTTGGCCACCTTCATTTTCGGCTTATCAGCCAACTTTTTTACTAAACACGTAAATTTTGCTTTCGCGCGCTGAATTGTGTAATAAGCCGAAAAAGTAAGGTTGGGGTTACTTTTCTGGCTGTATTGGCTGAAGTTACTGTAGATGACTATTTTAGCTATTTTTACATATAATTTTTTCTTTATTTTATTAATAAAATATATTTTAAAAATATTTTTTTCTTGTATCACCAGAATCAGCCAATGCAGCCACTTCAGACAGAACTTCATAAATTTCAGCAGAATCAGCCAGAACAACCAATTTTCGTGCTGCCAAACGGGCTCTAAGCATTTTTGTTTTGTGTTCTTGTGTGATTCGTATGTATTTGCCCAATCAATTGAAAAATATCTTTACCGTTGATCTTCATCTTCAACGAAATGATTGAGGATAATGTAATCAGTCGCAATGCCTCCTGCATACGTGGGCCCATTCTCAGTGTCCCATTCTCTTTTCCTTTGATCCAAAAGGTGAAATCTCTCACCCTAGGAGCCCCACCCTGATCCGACAAGATGGTGGAGAGGTTAGTCACGGTGACTCAGTCAGTAGAATGGCAGTAGGCTCATACACCTGTGCGCACCAGAGGCCTAGTATTATTTCAGGTTCTGTGACCTCCACCCGATTGCTGCGGGGATTCGAACCTTGGTCCATTGATCCAAATCTTCCACCACTCGACCAACTGAGCTACCCGTGCGGATTTCCTCTTTTCCTTATACTAATAGTGTAGTACATGCGTAAAAGTAAATCGAAGGGTTTGGAAATAGAGAACGATTGGGGTAGACCTTTTATACATTCGTCTGTCTCACGTAGACAGAGTTGTCTGTTCACAGACAATTCTGTAGAGTTGTTTGTGGACAAATAATTTTTTGTACGTGAGATAGACGAATGTACAAAAGGTATACAAAAAATGTGTACAACAAGCATTTCTCTTGGAAATAAATGTTAAGGGCAAAAACAACATTTGGAATGTTTACTACTATATACATTATACCCCGCCTTTTTTTCAAAAGACCCCTCCTTTTATGCAGTTTTACTAAGGATATGTTTGGGAGTTTGGAGGGAAGGAGAGGGGAAGATTTTAGAGGTATGTTATCGGAGGGGAAATGGAGGGGAGGATGAGGAAGCTCTTCTTTGTATTTGTGAGTAATAAATTTGGAAGAAGTGAGTTTTTGAATAAATTATAATTAAAATCACTTTGAGATATGACGAATTTGAATAATTGAACTGATATTTATTTTTAATTGAGCTTAAATTACCATTTTGTTAATTATCTTTCAAAACCCTCCAAATTGGGGGAACTCAAAAATTGAGCATTTAGAAGATTTTGGAGGGTCACAAAAGCACTCCAAAACCATCACCTCCAATTTTATACTCCCAAACATGAAAAGGAATGTCATAAACCCCTATCAACCTCCCCCTCCCATCTAAAACCTAACTCCCAAACACACTCTAAGGTGAGTTTCATGCATCACTACGTTGCTATTGTTCTTCATTATTCATTGAGTCATCTTCCTTTAAATCTTTTTCAATCAAAAGTTGTTACTCTTTTATTACTGACTTTAAATAACTTTGTATATACACAATTAGACCTGGACAAAACCGGGATAGCCCGCCCGCCCGGCCCGCCCAGCCTGTCCGCACAAATGGGCGGGCTTGGGCATATATATTTACCCACCGGGCCGGTCCGAGCCCGGCCCGCAATAAGATATGGGCGGACTTGGGTTAGGTTGTAGACCCGTTCGGACCGATAAGTCCGGCCCGCTACATTTAGTATATATACATATATATATATTTATATATACACTAATTTATTTATTTATTGGCATATACACATGTATATTTATATTTACTAATTTTTCTTTATACATATTTATAGTTTATTGTGTTTAAATTTAAATTTTTAGTTCTTAACAACTAGCCCAACCAATATAATATCTATTTTTGTACTTAAAGATAATACTTTGTGCTTAAATTTTAAATTGGGAAAACTGTCAAATAGGTCCTCGAACTTTCATAAAAAGGTCAATTAAGTCCTTCTATAGGAGGTTCTGTCCGGCCGTCGCAATTTGGGGCAGTTCCCGGTGTAATTTTTTGATGAATTTTTTTGAGGATCTTACTCACCAAGTCTAGTTTACTCATACCAAATTTCAGATACAAATTCAATCGGGAACACATTCAAATTAATTCTTGAAGATAACTGCGCATTTTTGCGTTCTCGAATTAATTTGATTGCGCTCCCGATTAAAGTTTTAGCTGAAATTTGGTATGAGTAAACTAGACTTGATGAATAAAATGCTCAAAAAATTTCATCAAAAAATTCCACCGGGAACCGCCCCAAATCGCGTGGAACGGACAGAGTCTCCTATAGAAGGACTTAATTGACTTTTTTATAAAAGTTCGAGGACCTATTTGACAGTTTTCCCTTTTAAATTTTAGATATAGTTTCTCATTATTATTTTTGTGTAAGTATTTTTTTGTATGTGGTGAAAGACGTATAAACATTATAAGCGTATTAATTATTTTGAAAATGTTGTAATATTATTTTTAAAGTATTTAAAAAATCATATAATTTTGAAAAATTAAAGTATTTCCGGGCCGGGCGGCCCGGTGGACTATCCGGTCCGCTCTTATGAGCGGGTATGGACATAGGGTTAGACCCGTTTTGCGGGCCGGGCCAGACCCGCCCACACATGATGGGCAGAAACTTTATAAAAAGCCCGGCCTGAGCCCGGCCCGAACCCGTTTTTGTACAGGTCTATACACAATGTCTATTGCTCAAACATTACGTGTTCAGGCAAAAAAACCAATAATTATTCTACATTCTGCAAACACTATCTTACATAGCCCTCAACTCTAATAATTTAATATTTATGGATTGAATTCTTTTTACTCCATCCGTTTCCAAAAGATCTTGACACTTTGACTTCACAGTTGGAAATAAACACTGTTTGGCACTGTTTGGCACTGTTTGTCACTGTTTTGTGTAGATTTATTTGCCAAATAAGGCAAATAAGGAAGTGTAAAGATCTTTCTAGTACTGCTAAAAATGGAAAGTGTAAAGATCTTTTAGAACCGGAGGGAGTATAATTTTTCAAAATGTTATGTAACATCTTCCAATTCAATTAGATTCTTGTCTAACATTGTACTAATGAAATGTTTTGATATTTGTAATTTTTAAATTTGAAATAAACGTCTACGTGCAGGGCCGACTACATGTGTTTACTTCATTGTTCAAATTTGCAATTGTATTTAAATTTTAAATGCTCATAATAAATATCTTAATATCACTATAAGAATGTTTTCTTTTGGACTGAAATTTGCTGATCTTATCTGGTAATGTTTGGTCTCTGTGTGTTTATAATTATGAAAGTCTGATCTAATCTAATCTATTCTGGTCTGCGACTGAAAACAATCTAAGAGAAAACATCCTAATACATACACCTGTACAATTGCAAATTGCAATTTGCAATTGTATTTAGGGGTAGTTTGACTATGAACCCCACTTTTTGGAAGATATTGGACTTACACCACATTTTGAAAAAACTTTGACTTTGCAATCCATCGTAAAACATTTTGTAATGAAATTTTTTTGAATGGGGTGCATAGGGATGGACTAAACCGACCCGGCCCGACCCAGAACCGGCCCGGCCCGTTACTGTTTGGGCCCGGACCGGACCGAGACCGGTTGGACGGTTCCGGGCTTTTAGCCCGTTTGGGCGGGTCGGTCGGGCCGGGCTCGGGCCCAACTTTTGGTGAACCGGCCCGGGCGGTTCGGGCCGGGCCCGATTCAATTTTTTTTTTTGTTTTTTCAATTTTTTTTCTTTTCTAGGTTAGGGTTGGGTGTTTTGGGGGAGGGGGTTTGGGGGGTAGGGGTGAAGGGGGGGGGGGGGGGTCGGGTGTTAATTAGAAACCAAAAAAAAAATTGAACTTGACTCGAGCCCGGCCCGGTTAGGCCCAGACCCGGTATCAACCCAGGCCGGTTCCGGACCCAACATTTTGCAAAAAAAGCCCACCCGGGCCCGGCCCAGGTCCATCCCTAGGGGTGCAAAGTCTAATGATTTTTAAGTGAAATAAGGTGCAAAGTCATAATTTTTTAAAATGAAGTACAAAATCAAATTCCCCTTGTATTTAGATTCCCCATCACGGCCCCACTTATTCAATACGACACCTGTTGTTCCGGGTCAGGAACCTGCCCAGAACTAGACATGTCCATGCATGAGGTATTGAGGTGGCATTCAATAATCACAATAAACTTGATAGGACTTTTCTAACACATCTTGTGTTTCAAACAATTTTATAGGGGGTTCGTTCATTTCACCCAACAAATGAACAAATGAGATGTACAATTGCGTATCTGTGGACAACCATATCCCTTCATAAGTTATGACAATACACTCCGATAACAGGGAGGTAGCTTAAAAATAAAATTAAAAAAAAACTACTACTACTACAAGTTAAAAAACAAGATAACTTTAAACACAACACGGGTAATATTGCAAAAAGGAAGGAGGTGAGGGAGGAGCATTTTAGGGCAGCCCCACAATAGACTGTGTGACTAAAGAAAACAAAAAACTTGACTTCAATTTATAATATAATATATACATTTTTTGAGTTTCTAAAGTTCAACTTCTTGAAGATCCTCACCAGAGCTCCCGCTTCTTCCCAACCCGTGCATTAATGAAGTATCGTTGGGCATAAACGATAACGATGGAGGCATGATACCTAACACCTCACCCAACGGTTTAATGTTTTGAAGATGAGGTGAAGCTGCATCACTGAAACTTCCACTCCATGAAGCAGTTCGACGTGTGTGTCCCGGAAAGGAACCGATGCCTGCAGTCTTCCCGTTGTTTGAGAGGTTCCCCACACTTCCAAATCTTTGCATGTTCATCATGTCTGATGATGATGTGGCACGAGACTGGAATGAATGTTGGTGGTTTTCATTATTAGCATCAGCAGAGTTGTCTTGTGTGCCGTTAATATCAGACTGTTGCTCAGAAGAGATTGAAACTGGTGAAGGAACAAAAAACTTCTTGGCAGCCGAGGGATTTGCAGGTTTGGTAGAAGGAATGGACGGCGAGTGAAACAAGTTAGTTGCATTTCCACCTCCTTTATTGAAGGTATCTACATACCTGAAAAGAGGAGGGTAGCATGTCGTCATCTCTTGCACTGTTTTGACTGGCTTGGTTTGACTTTCAACAAGCAAGATAACAAAATACTGTAACATTTTACATTATAACACAAACTTCTTAGTCCAATTCAAGGCCTGCTTGGTAAGGTCTGAAAAGACTGAGTTGTGATAGAATAGTGATCGACTGTATTGGTTAATAATAATAATAATAAAGTAATGTACTAGTTCCTTTTCAACTTAAACAACTGACATGAAATAAAAGGACGCCTCTGCTCTCAAGTCTCATTTATCATTATTCTTTCCCTTAATGATTAAGGAAATATCTACATTTTAAAGAAACTTAGAGATAATTTAACAAAAAGATGGTAATTTCATTCATTTCAGCTATTTTTACCATTATCGAACGAAAAAATGGCCCCCAATTGCAATCTATAATCTAAACTTACCTCGACCGTACATTTGTTCGGCTACGTGCTGAAAATTGATTAGAAGTGGGTGGAAGTGGTGGAATTCCAGAACCACTGTCTACAGAAGCTGGACTCTTCAACTCTGGACTTCCACTGCTAGAACCTTCACTTTTTAGGGCACTCCTCAAGTTGTAATCTGGCGCTCCATTTTGGAAAGAGGCAATCGTTGGTGGGGGTGGAATTGCTGCCTCCTCTGTAGGTGATTCAGCACCTTCCTCTACCCATCTTTTCAGTTTCTCATCATAATAAAATTTATTTTGTTCACCCAACTTTGCCTACAAAAAGAGCAATGCAAAGAATACTTATTTCTTGAGATAAGAATACGGGGCGAGTGTGGGGGCATTACTGTTCGGTTGGCAGGAATGAAATTGATGAGAAAAAATATCCCTTGGCTTGGTTAACTTTGAAAAATCAAAACAATTAGTTACAATACTAAATTGTCCTTGTATTCATTTTCTCCGAATGATTATAGATTACATTATGAGTCTATTTCAGTCTAAACATATCCACAATTGTTTCTTGCCCATAAGGAATACTACATACTCCCTCCGTCCCATTAGACTTTGCCAACTTTTCCTTTTTGGTTGTCTCAAAAAAAATTGCCACTTTCATATTAAAGCAACTAAATTTGTGGTTCTGCGCATTTCTCTCTCCTCTGCATAAATCTCAACCACACAATTTTTACTATTCTTATTTCTTACCTACTTTGCACTTGGCAAAGTCCACCGAGACAGAGGTTATAATAAATAATACCTATGAAGTGGTTGGAGTATATTTATTTCCTGAAATTAAAAAGAAAAGTAACTCTAAAGAAGAAGAACCTTCAACCTACCAAACAAAGGAAAATCATTTCCTGCATACAAACAAGGAAGCAAAAAGCTTTTCCTTCCAATCAAACGCCCCATTGGTGGAGAAGATCCAGTTTGAGATCTCACAATAAAGGATTACCTGGCGGCCTTGACGTGATTTTAGGACTAGTCCGACTGTCTTCTGAAGGAACTGGGACCCAAAACTGAAGCGACTAAATCGAGATGTGCCTCCTGTTGGATTTTCTTGGGAGTAAGTAGAGCTCGCATCTTTTGATGAATCAATCTGGCCCTATGAAGATTTAGAGACCCATAGTTTCTTTACTTCAGGCACAATTATAATAATTGACCAAAATCCACAATGCATGTAACATAAATGGGAACTTAATTGTGCATATTGTAATATATAAAATGTTGAACGAAACATTGATTTTTGTCATCTAAATAAGAGAACGTAATTTTCTTTTAAATCAGTCTGGCACACTGTTCATTGTTATTTTATCTTTTACTACAACATTTCTATAATTTCTAAATATGAATCAGCTTGGCTGAGGTGGATGATAGTTTGTAGGTGACACAGTGACATGGCATCTGAGAGTGTTTCAGGATGTCACATATATAAAGATGGTAATAAACCAAGGTAGCATCGCTGGCATCATTCTACAGAGTTGGGTACCGAAGTACTACATAAATGAGTCGAGGTGCCAAAGCTTTATAGCAACAACAACATCCAAGCCTTAATCTCAAAAGAGTAGGGGGGCAGCTAACATGAATCAACATATGAAATCGGAGTTAAAAAAAATATTATATTTACCCCACTATGCAGAATCAAAATAACAAACCTGTAGGGAACTTCTACCGAAGTCAGGTTCTGAAATGCTTCGATTGTGAATTGTCTTTCTACTGCTGCTATTAGCTGCCCATTCATTTATGGGCTCCATAGATGTTGAAGGTACTAAGGATGACATTGCCATTGTTGATTGGCTGTTGGAGACTCTAGGTGGCCCTACAGGCTGATGAAAATGTTCATTCGCGTGTGAATTGATACTCACAGGTGCAGGTGGTGGTAAGCCCCCAACAACACGATGGGCAGTAGTGTCAAAAAGGTTAAGCAATTTACCCACCAACTTTCCTGGTGCTAAGTTGGCAGAGAAGCCTCCCTATACATACAAGAGTACTCAATTACTAAATCTGGAAAGAGATGATAAAAGAAATTTCAATAAGCTATTGAGAAAAAATAAACAAGGCACCTGCTGGTGAGTTCTTATCCTTTCTTCCAGAGCTGAACATAACTGTCTCAACATTTCAACTTCAGGAGCTCGACTATTTTTTAGTGATTTTAATAATGCTTGACTGTACCTGATCAACAATAAGTAATTGTAAGCAACTACAAGAAGCAATAAGTTTTAATATAAGAAAAAAATCAATACAAAAAAAATAACAATGATAATAATATACCGAAGGCTTGCTCACATACTTAAGTGAATCAGATATCTTCCCAACCTCAGCCAACATGTAAGCATACACAAGCTTGTATGGTTGAAAGGGTAGAAGAATAAACTGAGAGTTCCCAAGAAGCTTTGAGTATTCATATAATTCGGTCCTCTGTCCAAATGTGCAAATAAAATCAGTACACCAATGAAAACCTTTAATTAGAAAAAACGCACACCCACAAAAATCCATATATATCAGTCAATAACACCTGAATGGCTTCAGGACTAGCATAAGTTCGAGGGAATTTCCAGTGATCTGCACCGACAAGACACAATCTAGCAGTGTCGGAATACTGTTCAAAGCTTGCCTCTGCCACCAGATAACAAATGTGCGCAGCAGCTATCTGAACTCCATTTTGAAGAGCTTACTAAGTTAGGTTTGAACAAAAAAAGATTGAAAAAAACATGAACAAGTAGATAAGTTAGATAAGCCCATGGGTGAACCATACATCATTTCTCTCTTTATACAAACAATCTCCCAAGTGAGTGAGCACCAGCTCATCATTCTTTGTTCTATTAGCAGTTATAACTGCCAAATTTTCTTCCCAGTGGTCCAACATTCCATTTCCACCAAACTAGAAGAAGAGCATCAGAGCAACAAATTCAATCAATTCAAGCAAATAATATTAACTTTTGGTGCTAATTACAAATTTACATTTCTCACTCACATCACTCATTGAAAACTAATGGTCTGTATGGCTAGAAAGTTTTGGAGAGGAAGGCTTTAGAGGGCTTAGTGTATAACTTGATACAGAAAATGTTACTAAAGATAAATAAAAGGTTATTAAAATGGCATACACTCACATATACTTTTTATAAATGCCCAAACACGCAGCAAGATATAGTCATATAGAACGTGTTATCCTAGCTTCCTAAGTCTTCTTTCCAAACCCATCTATCCAAAAACACCCAAAGGACCTGTTTGGCTGGTGAGTTATGATGGAATTTGGCAGAGAAGGATTTGGAGGGCATAATCTATAACCTGATGAATAATTTGTTTCTAAAATGAATAAAAAGTGTTTAAATGTTATAGGGTCACATCTCATTTTCGTCTTTCAATTTTATAAAATCGTAAACATATAACCATAAATAGGTTTAGCCCTTCAAAGCCTTCCCCTCCAAGACCCCTCCATTCAAACACACGCTAAAGGAGCACCAGTTTAAAAAAAGAAGAATTCATACATGAGGAGGTTGTTGAGGGACATTTACAGAATCAGGAATCACACCATCAGACACTGTATCGCTAGAAAAGACAGCAGCTGGCTGACCAGCAATTAGTAGGCACAACGTCCTCAAAGGTGATCCTACTACTAACTGTCTAAGTGCCATTTGCTTCACAGTCTCAGCATAGAACTACAATGAAAGATAATAAAAAGTCAAAGGAAATAAAAGGTACATAGAGGTATAAGACCGCAACTGGAGGAGGGGGTCTATCATTACATTTCCTTTTGGATTTTTTTGTTTGCTTACTTTTTCAGGAGTGGGTGTGATGATAACTGACCTGATCACCAAGTTGTGCGGCAAGAACAAGAGCGGGACCCCATAACTGACCTTGTTGTGCACATTGTAACGCTTCTTTCTTTCTGCCAGAAACCAGAAGACTTTGAACCTCTGCAGCAGTAGCCTAAAGCATATATTGGGAGAACGCTGATCAGAGAAGTGCCAATTAAGACAATAATAACAGCATAGAAATAACTGAAAACTTGGTCATTCGGTAAAAGTTATACCTGCATATGTCCTTCAGAAGGCAACTGTTGCACACATTGACTACCGCCACCATACTGGTTGAGTTGCACACTCCTTTGGACAGATGCAAACAATTTAGCAACCGTTGTTTCTGGAGCATCATTTTCCTGATTTTTGTAAATACCGCTTTAACCCCAAATGGCTAAATTATGCATAACTATAAATATTTTAAACTGAGTAACAATAATTTAAATCAACAGAAACAATATAACAAATAAGTATTTTGACACAAGTTGCTTAGCTACCAGAAATTCAGAATCTAGGCCATGCAAAAGCCTGATTGTTAAAAATCACCAAATATTCATAATAATATGAAAATGCATCCAAATGCAAAAACAAAAATCATATTACTAAGCATACCAAATGTTATCAAATATTCCCTCCGTCCTCCTATAATTGTCCCATTTTTTTTATTTTTGGATGCCCCCCTATTATTGTCTCATACCATATTTGGTAACATTTTGTGGCTCTAATTCATTCTTACTTTATTTCCACTTTATCAACTCATTATCAACCACATAATTCTACTTTTCTTAAAAATCACACCACTCCCTTCCGTCCAAATATTAGGGGGACGGAGGGAGTAATACATCAAAATTCTTTATAATGATGTCTTCAGATATTTCTGCATGGGAAAGATACATTCTCATGAATGGCAGCACATTAATGTATATGATGATATCGAACACTAACTGTGCTTCATAATGAATCACATATTCACATGTACTACGAATAGACAACGATGGGATCTTACCTTAACCGCAGCATCAGTACCAAATGGGGAACGAAGTTTCCCATAATACTGGCATGCAATTTTCAACAGAGATAGAAGCAACCTCAAAACTTCAGCTTTCCTGTAATCTAAATCAGAAGATCCAGAATGTGCAATCCTGTCATCGATCCATTTATTTAATTCCTTACTACCAACGCTTCCTCCTACTAGTGGGCCGGGGAAGGATTGTCTGCACAAAGTTTGGAAATAGCAGCACTTGCTAGTCCCAACACTTGGATGTGCTCTCTCAGTCACAATGTCCATCAAGTCAACTACAGATATAAAGCCACCTACTGGATTCTTCACAGAATATTACATAAAAGCTTTCAGTATTCAATGTCAGTCACTAGAGAAAAGTGACAAGTCTAACAGAACAAGCTAATCAAAAAACAGGAGGGGAGAAAAATAAATACAATCCAGGAACTAACCTCATTCCCAAAGGAGTTGCCTCCCATAGAATTATTTTCTTTCATCAAAATAAGCTTTCCACCAAAACCAAAAGTGACCAAGGCATGTGGGGAGCGCCCTGCAGATGACCTTTCTGCGTTAGGAGTATATGCTAACTGCTGGGTGCTGTGAAATGGCTGTTGTGAGAAAGTAAATGAATTTTGATTGCTAAAATATTCATTTGATGAATGCTTGAGTTCATTTTGCTCAAAGCTTGGTTGGCTGAAATGTTGACTGAAGCCTTGACCAGAAGCAAAGCCTTGTGACCTCCCTAATAATGGAAAATCACTTTGACTCTTAGTTCCATTCCCATGAGTCATGCTTGTTTCCTCATACTTATGAGGTATCGAATGAGTGAGCTGGTTGTTGGTAGTAATGTAATCACCATAGCTGGCATCAACTTCAAGGTTTCCCTTGTATTCTTGCAATGGCTCGCTCTTAGCAACACACTGTGTGTGCCACGTACTAGGTGTTTTTTGATTGTAATAACCAAATGACTCAGACCAGTTGTTACCAACTCCTTTACTACAATACTGTTGAGCCCTATCGTCATTAACCTGTCCAAACACACCATGCATCAGTTGTTCATTATTTTGTGAATGAGAAGCAAAACCATTCTGATTTAGCTGATTCTGCAGTTCAGGGGTTGAGTGAGAAGAATTGTATGTGTCCAGAGATCGCCATTCCTGGGCAATTGCATCATAATACCAACCAGGGTAGTTTTGATCAAATATCATATGTGATGGATACCCATTGTTTACTTGCAAAGCCTGATTCCAATTTGTTACCGTCTGTGCTGGATCAGTAGCTTGAGAAAGCGGGTGATTCCAAGTAGAGATGTTATCTTTTGTCCCACTCTCTGTTTCAGTCCCTTCAACAGACTGAGCAGTTTGCTGCACATATGAAACCTCTGTTTTGCCATTTACCCAATCCATTTGCTGTAAATCAGGGCCAATTGTCCCTTGTAGATTATTACCTCCTCCAGCATTATAACTGTCCACTTGATACCACTCCCCAGTATTTGAGTCAAACTTCCATCCAGGAAATTGATTTTCCCAATATTGACTGCTATTCATATCCTGACCATCCAAGGCTTCCAGCTGATATTGCGGATGAGAATTTGAAGTATCATTTAAATATGCAGAACCAGAGATTTGGTGGGTTGATATGCTATGCGAGCCAGCACTCACATTTTCCTCAACACCACCTACTGAAGTATCATTCAATTCGTTGAAAAAGTCTGAATAAGATCCAAAACCCAAATCACCATTCGAATCCTGACCAGCAGTAAAAGCACTCCACCCCACCTCTTTCACACCTGAAGCCCCAGATCCATTGCTCCTATCAACCGCTACATCAGGAGGAGCAGTGTCATCTGGTGAAATATCATTACAACACTCGCCAAGACTATCAAGGCCAGCCAAAGCTGGTATGGTTAATGGAGGAATTTCCTTCTCTATATTTTCCTCTGGTAACAAATCAGGTTTAACATCGTCCGGATTTACTGGTCTCTCACACCCGCTATATCCAATCCCAGTTTCCCAACCATCTGTGTCATTGTTCACATTCTCATTGGTATCACTTAGAGTCAGATTGGCAAAAGCCTTGACCTCATCCGATTCGTTCCCGTCCAAAAGCTCCGGACCTTGAGGCAGTGTGGCAGGGTTGAAATTGTGGTCGTCGTCGTCATTCACCAACTTGTCGAAGAAATCCTCGTCCGTCTGATCCTCCGCCTGAATGGGAGGATTCGAAGCCATATGATCAGTTAAATGAGGCACTAACCTGACAGAATAGCCACGAATTCCTAAACACAGTGGACCAGATCCGAGCTCAAAATCGAAGGACGCGCACCGACAAAATCCTCAGAAAAACGAGATCTAGGGTTCTTCAAGCTCTCGCGAGGAGGATGTATTTTCGAAAAAATCAGGAAGTTGTTGCTCAAAACATAGCATCGTAGGAAAAGAAAACAGAAAAAATCATACGGAGCTTACAGATCAGCGCGTATGTTACCTCCTTCTGCGATCGGAAATTCAAAGACATATACCGACGGGCACCTGAGCATGTATGCGTTCGTATTCATTCACCCACCTACACATGCATGTTTTTGGCTATGTACAAAGCCAAAGTATATCTGGTCATGTAAGACGACGAAGCGCAACTCTATTTCGCTCGCACCTCAACAAACCAAATGCCATTGTTTCTCGAAAAAATGACTAGACAATTAGTAATGGGCTTTCAATCCACAAATAAATGACTAAATGTTGGAGAGATGGTCAAAAATAGCCTCATGTATAAGTTAATTTGCGATTACACTCAAAATCAAATAATGTCCTTCTCGATCTTCTCTCACCGCTGCGCCACAGTCGAGACCCGTTGGCTTCCTATCTCAGAAGAAAACAAATGGCGGCTTAGCTCCAACAGAGATGGCTTCAATAGCTATCTATGCTCCACCAGGAACATCTCTCGGAGCCGACACGGCGATTCATCTTCAAAGGTCGCAGTCGTTGTTAATCGCAATTGGCGACGGCTAGGGTTTGGAATCACGACACCGCGCGACTCGGGCTTCTTGGATGAAGATTTCGATTTTGCACCGTGTGATGGAGGTTGGCTGGCGGCGGCGATGCGACGGTTGCGGAGGTTGGAGAGGGAAGATGTGGTTATGGATGGGAAGGGGGTTGGGCCGCTGGATAGGGGTTGGGGATGGGGAGGCTGAAAAGGGGGATGGGTGCTTGGGTGCTTGGGTGCTGGGGAGGGTCAATGTGGGGAGGCGGTAGTCATCGTCGGGGGGCGCGGCGGTAACCTGAGTTGGACTATTGGGGAGGTGGATGGGGCTGGAGAGGCAGCCGCAGGCTAGGGAGGCGGGAGGGCGATGGAGAAGGGGTTGGGGAGGGAGTTGGGGGCTGGGGAGTGTCACTATCGCGGCGGCAACTATAGGGCAAGGCGGCAAAGGTGAACGATTGTCGGTGCAACGGCGGTGACAGGTCATTGGAGCTGTGAGTCTAAATGTCACTGTGTTCGGTGTCCATGTCACTGTATCATTGTGAGTAAATCACTATGATCGAAGTCACTTTGTCACTGTTATTGGTGTCACTTTCACAAAAGCCAATGTGTCACTATGGTCACTGTACCGGTAGTAACTGAGACAATATCATTGGAACACTAGTAACTATGGCGGTGGTCACTGAAGCGTTAGTGACCGACGATGTCACTAAAGCGATTATAGTAACTCGGGAGTGGGCAATTCAGTGATAGTAGTAACTGAGACGGTGGTCACTGGAGCAATAGTAACTGGAATAGTTGTCACTAGAGCGCTAGTAACTGGGACGATGTCACAAGAGCATTATAATAACTAGGACGCTGATCACTTGAGCAGTAGTAGTAACTGGGACGGTGCTTATTGAAGCTATAGTAACTGTGACACTCGTCACCGAAGCACTAGTACCGGGACCGTTGTTACATAATTTTCATATTCGAATATCTATCATCATAAATAATATTAAAATAGAAGAAAACATTAATTGGTATTAGAAATTTAGAATGCATTGTTACAGCTAGAATACAGATTACATTGAAATAAATTTAAAATAAAAAAACATCAATTGAGATAAAGTGCATTATTACACATTACAGAATAAAGACTACGGAGTGCATTTGACTATTTGCGATCAAGTGCATTGTTAATTTGTTACGCACTTAAGCTATTACGGAGTGCATTGATACGGTCCAAAAGTAAGGATTATTTAGTAAATTATGTTTTTATTAGTCACATTTTTTGAAGCATAGAAAAAATGTCTCTTTTTTGTCCATAACACATTTTTTTGTAATATTTGAGCCAAAATCCCTTGTTTCTTTCTCTTCTTTTAATTATTATTATTAACATTATATAGTACTCCGTAGTACTCCCTCCGTTCTCTAATACTTGGCCCTCTTTCCATTTTGGGATGTTCTCTATTAGTTGTCTCCCTTTTCACTTTTGGTAATTTTTTTCAATAAATATACTCATTTACCTTCATTCTATTTCCTATTTTTCATTCTTTTTCCTACTTTTACCTTTACACACAACCCACTACACCAAAGGCTATACTCCCATCTATTAGAGAACGGAGGGAGTACTATATATATAAAGGAGAAAGGGGCCAATAAATCCACGCACTAATAAAAAAGGTCAAATAAGCTCTTATATAGGAGATTATGTCCAGCTATCGCCGTTTGGGGCAGTTCCCGGTTGAATTTGTTGATGGATGTTTTCGAGAATCTTATTCATTAAGTCTAGTTTACTCATACCAAATTTCATCTAACAATTCAATGGGGAAGGCATTCAAATAAATTTTTGAAGTTAACTGCGCTTTTAACTGCGCAGTTATCTTCAAGAATTTATTTGAATGCCTTCCCGATTGAAGTTTTAACTGAAATTTGGTATGAGTAAACTAGACTTAATGAATAAGATTCTAAAAAAAATCATCAAAAAATTCCACTGGGAACTTCCCGAAATGACGACGGCCGGATAGAGTCTCCTATATAAGGGTTTATTTGACCTTTTTGGTTAGTACGTGAGCTTATTTGCCCCTTTTTCCAAATATAAATTAATACTGCGGAGTGATATATATCATCATTAACTGAAACATTTTACTATTATCGATAAAAAACTCTCCGCTTTTAGTAACTTGTATGAATATCTAGTCAATGTTTATTTTGTCTTGTATTATCGCAATAACTTTGACCTTCTTCCTCAAACCATGAATTCAATCAATTAAATACAGACCCATTTTCGAAAACTTAATTGCATCAACTCATGGCCTCATCGCTAGTCTATCCCCTTTCTTTTCACTTGTTCTTTAACATCTCTTATTTTCCACCCACCCATTTTGTGCATCCGCCCTTACTCCTTCAAAAAGATCACATCTCTAATTTTTAGGTTACTTAGACAGGTGAAATAAACATATTTGTTATTTAAAAAGTTTTTACTAATTCAAACAGGTTTTTCAAAAAAAACTTAAACAAGTGCTTAAACTGCCGGTTACTGAGCATATCATCTCTTGAATTCTAGGAGCGCGGTATTAACTACTCTGTTTAGGAAAAAGTAAACGGGCGGACGGCCTAGCTAGTCTAGGGTTAGGTTGGTGATTGACGGCCGGTCTCCTTCAGGCGGGGTGCGATCGTTTGGCTAGCGTCGTTCTGTTGATCATAGACAGGGCTACGATTTGGTCTGTGCGAGCTCATATTTCGTGATAGTTTCTTCTCAGCGGTGCAAGATCTAGGTCGTCAGTGCAGGCCCTTTCTTTGGCGCGACTCCAGTTCATCGGAGGGCAGGAGAAGGCTAGAGTACCAAGGCTTCGTCGGGTTTTGCCTGGAGGAAGACGAAAGCTTATCTCTGTGTGGTAAGTTGTTCCAAAAGTTAAGGGCTCCAATTTTGGCCTGAGGGGTAGACCTGTGGTGTGGTGATTTGGCTGGTTTCACTCTGTCCACTTTGAGGGAAGGTGACGGCGGCGATCCAAGAACGATTCGAGGTGAAGCGACTGATTCCGATGTTTGGCAGCATGGAGACGGATGAGGAAGATGTGGCTATGTTGGCAAAAGTCACGGCTTGGGGTGCGGCGGATGGGAGGCCAACACTTGATTGGATCATCACTTCGGAAAAATGTGTTCGGGCATTGTTGAAGTATCATTCATAGCGGTTCTGTTGGCCCGACCTCCTCCTGAACCACCGCCTTGGAACGCACGAGTTGGAGTTTTGGCAGTCTGCGGAAGGTCTCAATTAGAAGGGATAAAAATAATGGAGTTCGGTAAGCATTTTAATATTTTAATAATGGCAGTCTGCGGAAGGTCTCAATAAAAATAGTTGGAGCTCGTTTAGTTTGCATTTTAATATTGTTATCTTTCTGTTTGGTTTTTATTTTGGAACCTTAGTTGTTTGGGTGTGTTATGCTTATGAGGCGGGTACGTATTTTATGCTAAGGAGTAAGATGGCTTCAAAAACCGAGATAATCTTCAAATCTCTCAGAGGGTTAGCGACTCGGTCCGCTCTATCTAGGGTGGTTGTTTCTATATCTAATCAGAGGGTGAAGGGACCCTCGGGTTATGGTGTGTTTGGTAGCAGGAGGTTGTCCAGTATTGAGAAGATTGTAATGGCGTTGGTTCTTGATTTTTAATATAATCGTTCAGTTTCCTTTCAAAAAAAAAGCATATCATCTCTTATGTATTAATTATGCGACATCTTATAAATATGTTGAGGTATATGGGTTGAATGAGAGTGGTCAATGACAAGAAGATACAGTAAATCAACTATATTGAGATGAATATACTGATTACACTAAAATGGCCAAACAGGATCTCCGAAATAGAAAGCCAATACAAGAGATAAAATAAATATATTGTTGTGAGTACAAATTTGTTAACTCATTACAATGAAATAAATGCTGGTATTTATACTATGGATAAGTAGTTAGAGGGGGTGATGTAGCCGTTTCTGAGCGGATGATCCCCAACCATAAAATCCCCCATATGATCCCGTTAGTTTACGAGGGTTCCCGTCAACTCTGCTGGACCGATCCCCCATGGCTAGCCCTCCCTGGCTTAATAATCAACTCAAAGCATGATGATCAGACCGTTCGATAGATGTTGTTCGGCCCCTCCCGCACATGCCCTCAATCTGTTGGATTTCGCTGGTCCTGGGCCTTTTAGGGATATCTTGGGCATGCATTTGGGTTGGACCCTAATATCTCAACACAAGTCTGATAGACAATTTATAAGTCCTCGCAAGTGCACGAGTCACGGTAGTACAATGCTCAAGTAAGGGTCGAATCCACGGGGAAAATGCAACTAAGTAATTGGATAACTGTTAATAAAAAATAAAAGTGAAATTAATCTAACAAAAAAATGAATTTTGAATTTGTTTGATTTGAAACTGAAAAATAAAGCTTGAATTAAAATGGATGCAAGGAGTTTAATTGAATGAAAATAAAGTGATTAAACAACTAACAGAAAAGTGATTGAGAGTTTAACAAGAGAAAAGACAGTCCAGGATTATGAATGTGTCACTAATTTTTAGTATTTGTGATTTAGTTAATCAATTGAAATTGAGGATTCATTCTAGACAAAACTATGACTATTCTGTATGGCATCTAGAATAAGTCACGTATTTTAACTATTAATCAATTAGAAATTATTAATTCAATAGTTAAAATCCATTAGTCACAAAAGAACTACGGAAGCCCGATTTAAGAACCAAATAGATAACCTAA